TCACCAACCGAATATTCCCTTTTCAAACATTTTCAGAACTTCCTTGCTGGAAAATACTTCATCAATCAGGACCAGGCAAAAAAGCCTTCGTGGATTTCGTGAATTTTCGACCACCCAGTTTTTTACTTTGATGGGATTTCTCGACTGCTGTCACATTGGCAAAAGTGTGCTGATTCGAATGGTGCCTATTTCGATTAAATCCGATGAGTATTAAAAAAGTTACGATCGTTTAAAGTGAAACACCCAAAACGCTGAGAACTTTCCGGACAACCTAATAGTACGAGAAAGCCTTTGCACCAAATTGGCGACACATTGCGCCATATTCAAAAATGAGTGTCATGTTCATGATCAGAGCATCGGATAACCGCCGTAACCCAAGTTTCATAGAGAGTTTCTTCGATAGTATTTCGCGAGCGTAATAATTGAGTGAGGCCCCGTTGTGAACCGTTCCCGCATGGAATGTGTCTTTAAATGGCGTATATCCGGGTCATACACATTATGGGGCATACAGGAATACAAGATGCAAGAAATCTGAAAAATGCAAAAAATGTGCCGCCAAGGGGATCCGATCCATAAACCCACCGAATGAGAGCCCGTCACGCTATCCACCACACCATCTGCCACTGCGACATGGGAAATGCAGGACCTGTTGAAGAGAAATGCGCAGATGACTGGAAAACTCAGCTCACCACATGCCAAGTAAAGCATTTGGATTTTGACCTTATTTTGCGCTGTTTTTCATGCCTGCTCAAAGGATACCCTACATACTATACCCTGTCAACGCTACAGCTAGAACAGAGGCGAATAAGGTGGTTTAAAAAGCCCATTCTTTTCGAATTATTTTTGACCTTTTTTTGACATTCCCAGTACCGTTTAGCAAAAATGAACCCCATCGCTGTGGTCCTCGCATGGACCCCTACAACATGCAACAAACCGTTTTGAAAAAGCTCACCACGGCCTGAACGACCTCCCTTGTAAGATCGGACCAAGAAGAACGGCTGAAGAACTTCACATCGGAACTCACGGAACGGAGTGGAATGAGCAGGGTGAAAGGCTGTCTGAGTTTATCATGTCGACCCATACCATCCATGGTAACTCGCAGTTCCAGAAGCCCTACTCTCTACGCTGGACATGGGAGTCTCCTGGTGGACAATTCCATAACGAGATCGACCACATCATCTGCAAGGTTTTGCCTGACCGATGTCGCTGTTGTCCCTAAGTTCTACACGGGATCCGACCATCGTCTCCTTCGCGCAAGATTCCGCTTTTCGATGCGAGGAGAGAGA